TGTGTCTCAATATCATGTATCATAGCATCATTGTGTAGGCCAATTTGAAGTGGATGTCATAGTAATGTCTTTCTGTACGTGTGTACAAACCAGTGGTGAAAAACACAGAAGATACGCAAAGAATAACCGGTGTTTGAGGTTAGCTGGTTCCATTTGTTTAGATATTCTACTTTCTGTGTTCCAGATCCCCAGAATTGATATTTTCACCAAATGGTCTTTTCTGTCTGCCAGTGTGTCATGCAGTTTTCAAGATTAAAGACCTTGAAAAAGAAAAAAAGGTTCCTCACTCCAGCTCTTGGGAATCCATATACCCTTCAATATTACTTTCAGACAACAATTAATTATTTGAAATTTTAGTAAAAAGCCTTCAACCTGGTTTTATTTAGATTTATTTAGATTGTGTTCACTGACACATCTGAATTCAAACTGATAAACAGGATTTAAAAGGAGGGAGCGATGGACACTGAGCAGCAGATCAGTCCGTGTAGAAACAGGACATAAGTTTAAGGCACAGGGGGATAATTTGATTGTGATCATTTTTGATCTGACTCAGTGGTGCTGGCTTCTCTCCCGGACACATCTTTCTTTTACATGCAGGTCACTGATGTAGAATAGAATAGAATAGAATAGAATAGAAAAGAATTTTATTAATCTCTATGGGAAGGTCCATTTATTCTTCATTCTTCAGGATGTGGTTTCTGTGTCTGTTCTCTCTATCCTCACATGCAGCTCAACTTTCAAAAGCAGTGCAGCTGCATGGTTGCAGATGATTGTTTCCTACTGTGATGGCTGCAGTTACAGCCACAGATTTTGGGTAATATCTGCCAAACATCACAGGGCTACAATAGAGACTTATACATACCACTACACTAATGAAGGGCTGCACAATCAATCATGTAGATTCCTGATCTATTATGTTAAATGACATCAGTGCCATTTCAGTCCTAATTGTGCAGACCTGATCAATAATCTGAATGGAAACTGGTTCTTCTTTACACTGATGAACTGCTGATGTCTCTGACTGGATTGTCTGTTTGATTTGACACTTAAGTTATTGTGTAGTTACATTAGTACCATCAATCTGCCACCAGTGTGTGATTGTGCTTTATTTTGTAAATGGACTGGTACTTACATGGTACTTTTGTATTATATTTTCACATTTTAAGTACATTTTACTAGAAGCCTCACTTACCCATTCACACTCTATCCTGTGCACTTTAATCCTAACATGCACACACACTCACACAGTCATCAGGGTAAA